CTTTCTCACCCGAACCACCACCCACCCATTCCCACGATTCCTGAAAGCAGGCTGAAGAGGGCCTTCCGCCCTACCTTCCGGCATAGTCCGGAGGGACTGCCCGCCCACCAGCATCACTGGCTGGTGGGAATGAAATACACCCAGAAGCTTTTTTCCCTCAAAAAATTCTTTTATTAATATTTTTTGAATTGCTATCTAATAATAACATATTTTACTATTAAGTCGAAATTAAAGTATAAAGTTACTTTGGAAGCTTTCGGGGTGACCTTTTCCTAGTTATTTGTCAGTTAATTTTTCTTATTCTGTACAAAGAAAACGTTTAATATTTCATTTATTATTATTTCATGTATTCAAATTGCGTATATAATATCATCGTTCCTGTCGTGAAATTGAGTTACTTTACAAAGCATGAATAACGAGAATTTGGTTTACAGAATCCTCTGTTGCCAGTAGCAACTTTGATGTAATTCCCCTAAATCCGTATTCGTCCTCAGCGGAAGATATCGCCCAGACAGGAGGGTGAGGTCTTCCTTCCGTAAAGCAAATAATGCAAATGAAATAAAATAAAAAAAAGAAAAACGAAAGGAACAGGAAGACATAAGACGACGGCACATTGATGAAGTCGTTAAGACTAGTCATCCGTTAAATTTAGAAAATCGGAAAATCAGCCTCCTAAATCAATATCTGATTTCACTGATGGTGGAGCCGTTTAAAATTCAACTTCGCTTTTAACGCGGGTTCTTCTTTTTTTACCTCAAACATAAGACTGAAGCAATTACCATCAAGTCACTCTCGTACTACTGCTTGACAGAAGTCACAAACAACTATTTGATCAAATAAAATTCAATTGGAGCCCAAGATAAATATTTTAAATCGCGAAAAATTAAGGAAACGAAAAATCTCCTCGTACACATACGTACTTACTCGTTTATGAAGATAAAATATTAAAATAAATGCAAGAACCTACTAATTATGTATAAAGTTTAATAAGAAACGATATGAATTAGTGAAATGTGTAGATATTATTTGATTTGAAAGTGAACCTAATTTCTAATTCTTTTACTCTACAAAATATGTTAATAAATAAAGGGAAAAAATGTTTTAGTATCTAATATATTTTAGCAAGATAAACTTGTGGTGCACTTTAAGTAGATTCTAGCAGATGAAAGTTCGTTCTCCATTCATAAACTTCGCTAACTGAAAATTAAAAACTTGTAGATATCCCGTAGTCCGATGTCTAAGATTAATATTTTATCTTCATCCGGTTCAGAATTCATAGAGAAAATACGAAAACTGAGTAATATTTAACGGTAAAAAGCTAGTGTAAACCGATTTTGTAATAGCCCGAGAAAAATAAGGTTTGTTTTTTTTTTAATCGTGTTTAAAACCGGGAATGGTTAGATTCACAACAGCTGATTAAAATCATGATTTAAATTAAGTTATCTTTTGAAAAAAACTGTAATTTAAATGACAACAAACAGTCATTTTACAAATCCTATTCCAACTAATATTATAAATGCGAATGCGAAATTTTGTACACATATTGTCAGGGGTACACAAAAGGACTTAGGGTACCTTTTATCCAAAAAAAAAATACGATTCCTGAGAGAAAAATTAATTTTATGTGGTCATCAATGATCTTTGACATGTATTTAGGACATGACCGCTAGCGAAGCCACGGGGTAAAACCTAGTAGTTTATAAATTCATCAAAGATAAATAAACTATAAATTAATAAATTTTATAAATTAATCAAAGATAGTTGCTAGTTATTTCATGCTTTATAATATTTAGTTTCTATAATGTTATTTTTTAAATTCACTTTATAATAGAAATATTTTCTACTTTAACTTATTGTAATTCTAATTCTGCAAAATAGGTATACTTACCAATTTAACTGTAAAGAATTGGACTAAAGCAGTAATTCAAATTTCGTTGAATTTTTCGCAACTTTATTTTAATTTCCATATTGGCAATTGATTTCAATTCTTCCTGTTGTTGTAAAATTATTTCAAAATTTGGTGTATGGTTAGTTTATGCGTGTTATTGTGTTTTATACTCTAGTAACTTTCCTTCCTACCTTTAAAAAATATCTGTCATAAGTAATTTAAATTTACATTAAAAAAGTAATGTAGGTATGGAATATATCGTCCATGCTACTAAAATAAATTCCTTAGTTCACTAGACTTACTTTAACTCGTCCAAGGGATTGCATCGAATTTCCTGTAGTCCTGTATAATACCTATACAAAGCATAAAGTATGACGCAGTCACATCGCATGAAAAGTTTTAAACTACGGGGCAGCTTTCGTTTCTGTAATTCTTGAAATATACTCCTCGATAAATTTCGCCCAAACCGCACCCTTGGGTACGCTCCAAACAACAATTTATGCACCCTCATTATAAAGTTGGACTATAAAATTTCAGCGGTCTTTGGTAGTTATTCCTGTTTATGGCGAATTGTTTACACCGGCTCGAGATGCTACGTCTTCTTGTCGAGGCCGATTTCTCTTATATCGCTTTCTTCTGTCGGGTTGGAAAATTATGAAAATGAAAAAATCATTCGGTTTATCTGCCGCTATTAAAACATTTTAACACCTAGTCATTAAACCGAAAATTTTATGTTTAACTTTGCAAAATCGGATTGGGTTTAAAAAAATTTTAATTAGAGCAATAATAAAAAAAGTCTAGTAAAATAGTTCTACAAAGTTTTGACCGCTGTAATTTTTAATGCATATCACAAATATCTTTACGTAATAGTTTTACTATTTTATCTAATAGTTGATATTAGTGATGACCAAAATTAGTCTTAGTCTTGTGAAAATGCAAAATCAACATCAAGACGAAGACCAATAACAAGACTGTCTTTATACTTGCAATACCAAGATCAATCCAGGACCTTTGTTTGTAGCGGATGGAAAATTTTTCACATTAATATTTTATAAACGATAAATTATTACTTCCTCGTGAATTTATTGAGTTAAACTATTTTAAGCAACTTTAACATAATAAGACTTAAGACCGAGTAAGCAACATCGTCCCAGTCTTAGTGTTAGTCTTTGTCTTGCTCACTACTCGATATTTTGACATTATGTTTACGCTTTTCTCGGATTGGGTATTAAAACATTATTTTCACCTGCTATAAAACCACAAATAATGTCTTTTGTATGGGTATTTTATTCTAATTTATTTTTCAAATAATAACAAATTTCTTGTTGTAATTTTTGTATGTTCTATAATATTTGCAGATAGCTCAATAATAATTACAAAAACAGAAACGGTATTCCTAAATGTCTATCTGCGTTATTCTCAAATGAAAATACTTTCTCTAGTTATCTTATCCATGACGTCATCTTTTTATCTTTAACTATTAACAGCCCTTATATTTTAGCATGTGTAATACCCATCTTTTATGTAGTGCATGCGCATGAAAATGTATCGAAGTATCCAATTTTATATTTTTCCTGGTTCATAATCATCCTATTTCGCTTTTCCTCTCTTATAAAGTTTATTTCGATGTCCCTTTTACCATCAAAAGCATGATTGTCCTTCTTTTAATTTTTTTCCTGTTAATTTTTATAAGGAACATTTAGTTGTAGATTTGTTGTTCTTAAAACTGTTTTTTTGTGACCTGTATGAATGTAATGTAATGTCTATATCTGTAATTCTGTAATCTAACACTTGTATGATTGTGACGTAGTGGCTGTCTTACGTAAGCATAAGTTATTTAATATAATGTTCGTGTTTTCTGTAATGTAAGTCGTTTACAAAGAATTACAGGAAACACTAACAGTAGAGGTAGTTGTGTAAGATGTAATTATGTTTCAGCAGATGGCGTGTTGAATATTGTTTGATGTGCTTGTAAAATCAAGTTTTTACGGAGTATAAGGAAATTTTAGTGGGTCTGTGGGCGGGATTCAAGGGGGACAAGTACTGTCTATAATATTCAATCCATCATCAGTAGATGGCGTCTCAAATATTGTTTGATTTAGTATTGTAACCCATAAATTAAGGTCTACAAGCTTATATATAGGGGCGGTTGGTCGGGGTCAGAGGCTGGGGGTCATTGTTAAATTTATCGAAGACGTGTTTTTTTTTATACATGGAACTTCATTGCTCAGATATATGTATACTTATAGGTAGGCAGAGGACTTATAAGAAAATACAAATAAGTTTACATTCATTTATTGTTGACATATATATACATATGGATGTATTATTTTAAATTATACTTATAAGTAAATATAGACTTGTACAAATACATGATGTTTAGATATACGTATGAGTACGTATAAACTTATACGTATATCTACACATCATGTATTTGTACAAGTCTATATTAACGTACTTCTAAACATCATATACACATTTATATGAGTAGATACAGACTTATCTAAATATATGATGTTTAGATATACGTATGAGTACAATACAGACTTACAATAAATACATGATGTTAAAATGTTTACGAATACAATGTTCCAGGAAATAATATCAGCCGGAAATAAAAAGATAAAGGTCCTTTAGGCTATTCAAATAATTCCCACGTAGTATTTCAAACGATTTTTAATAGATTTCGAATTGTTATTGTTTTTGTTTTTCAAGTTTTATTCCAAGTGCTACTGTTAAAAGAGTTCTCATGAAAAAGTTGACAGAAAAGAAAATCACAATTTCGAAGCTATCAAAAATGGTTTAACATATACATGAATAGCACCTAAAGTCCTTTACCTTTTCTACTTCCGCCTGAAGTTGTTTCCTGGAACACCCTATTCTTTACAAAGATACCTAACAATACAATTTTAGATTAAGTAAAAATATTGAAAACTACCTTAAGTGTATTGCATAGTTGTTTTTCCTTACAGGTCCATACGTTTTGGCTTGGAAGAGGGGCATTGCTGTGCTATCAGCCGGGAGTGTGAAAGTTTATCCCGATACTCGGATGCAGCTTGTTAATGGTTACAATTTACAAATTGAGGAGGTGGGACCCCAAGACGCTGGCGATTACGTGTGTCAAATAGGAACTCTGGAACCACGCGAAATCACGCACACCCTCGAAGTACTTGGTAAGTTGTGTGAAGGCTTGTCTAGAAAAAAAAGTATTTGTTAGTATATTTATTTACATTTATTTACTTCTAGCATGTTATACACTTATTTATTTAGTTGTTTTGTTGTAATGTACGAACATTTTATTATTTTTAATAAACGCTTTATATTAATGTTATTGTGTTTTATTATTACGAGTTTATTTACCGAATAATAATAAAAGATTATAACTGCAAAATACTTTGGATTTGCACTTGAAGAAAACTCATTGTCAAACTTAAATAATAGAAAGATATAAATGATTTAAAGGCGGAGAGGAGCAAGGAGGGGTGTTAAAAAATGATTAGTATTAAAACACAACTGATCGTGAGTGGTAAGATAAGGTAAAAAGGGTGGAATGGATTGAACATTTTAAAACGATATGAGAAGGAAGTGAAGATACGGTTGTGGAAAGTTTAAGATACTTGTAGAAAGGAGACAGGTATTAGAAGAGATGGAGGGATTGAAAAGGGATAGAAGCGCTAAATACGAAAAAAGAAGCTGGGCTAAATAGAATTGTTGGGTTGGTTTGGAGATATGGAATAGGTAAAGGTTTTAGAGAAATTATACAAAATTATGATAGGCGTTTGGGAGGGGAGTGAAATACTTGACCCACGAAAGTGTGGGGCTATTGGTTCGGTATTTAAAAAGGGGATGAGGGAAAGTGTTAAAAATTACAAGATAATTTTGTAGAATTGAAGGAAATGGTAAGAAAGCAAGAAGAGTATTTATTAAAGAAAGGGCAGGAACAAAAAGGTGAAAAATTAAAGGTTCTGGAAGCTGGAAAGAAAAGAGGAAAAAGGGGAAGGTAAAAAAGAAAATAGTACCAAAGGGAGTAGATATAGAAAAAGTTAGGTATTATTCATATCTGGGATATATTCTGAGTGATAATAAAATAGGGATGAAACATATATTTCCAATCAAGTGGCTAGGGGGATGGAAACTTTGGGAGAGATATCGGGGTTAGGTCAGAAATTATGTAAATATGATTGGGGTAGAGGCTGATGTTATTCAATGTGATGATGAGGAGTATGTAGTGTCTTGTGGGGTGGAAATATGGGGATGGGGATCAATATAGCGGAATTAATAGGGAACAGATGCAGAGAAATAATAAGGGAAGAGGATCTAAGACAAATACAGAAGTCAAGGTATGTGTTAGAGCTAAGGGAAATTTTGTGGACTGGCAAGGGATTGGGTGCTAAGGTATTTAGAAAAAGGGAGGGAAATAAACATGCCAGCAAAATTAAGGACAGGGAATAAGTGTAGATGATTAAATATTAGAAAAAGGAAGAGGACAGGTGGTGTACGATAATGCGACAAGAGGGTAGAATGTGTGAAACATGTGCTAGAAGGATGTGAGGATAATAAAACTTGGGGCGACTGAAGAAAACATAAAGGGATGTTGGGTCATTTATTTGTCTAGAACAGTGGAAGAAATTTACGTTTAATAAGGCAATTTTGTGATAAAAATAAAAAAAGATAATAAAATATAAACACGCTACCCGAACAGTTACACACGTGAGGGTGCACGTCGTTGCGAGTGGTCGTGTTTAGTATAATCAGTACCTAACAGGAAAACATTGAATGGGTAAACAGTCACTCATTCTCTATTTTTCTGCCCTAAGCGATGGAATTTCCTTTTCAAATTCAAACGGAACGATAAGAATTTAGTATTTTTTTTATGTTAATTAGGGCTAAATACAATACATTGCTCTAATCAAAACTTTAGTTCTTCATTCGTTGAAAATGAAAATTAATGACATAATTAAATATAAAGAAATGCTATTAAGGATGTTTGGGAGGTACAATCGGAGACAAGAGTACATAAAATAAAAATTCGTGATTAATTAGGTTTTGCGGCATATCATGAGGTAAATAAATACTATCTATACTAAAAAAAAAAGTATACGGTTTGAGAGAAAATTTGGAATTTTACTAAAAACTTTGAATAAAATAAGAAATAACGAATAATATGTAACATTTTTAACTGACTTTTGGCAGTAAATATGCCCCGATTTCAACTTCGAAACAAAAAAATATTTAGTTTCAATCTCTATTAATAATGAGCGTAAAACTTTTAATATGTTGAAATAATAATTAAAACTTTAAAATTGCATTTATTTCAGACAATTATAAATATTATCATTATATTATCAAGTAAAAACGAGATTTTCAGCTAACTTTTCATTGTTTCCTCGATAACCATTTAGTGAATTTGAATAACCTTACGCTAAAGTGATTCTCCAGAGTTCAAGTTACTTATTATAAAAGTTTGAAATTTCTGGTAGCTTTTTTTCTGTTAAAAATAAATTTAATCTGTTCGGTTAACGAATCTCCATAAAATGACGTGTAAAATTAGAATTTTTTAAAATTAAAAACTCTTTAACGGTTTAGTGAATCGATTTGTAATTTTTATAGGAGTTTTAGAATTGAATGAGGAACGTTCTTCCAAATTTTGATATACCTCCCAAAGATCCTTAAGGAAAAAAGACAATATATTATCGTTAACAGAAGAATTTTTATATTGTATGAAGTTTGGACTCCTTAACAATTATTAAAGAAAATGTTGCACGTACATAAGTCAGATTAGAACTTACTGCAGGAGAACATTATATCAAAATTAATTTTGTAATAACTTGCACGTAATAGTTCCCCAAGCTGCAAATAATTACATTATCTTCGGAACTGATTAGTTACAAAAACAAATAACGATCGTCTGGGGCGTTCACAATTCCCGTGTTTTGCAAATTATATCCTACCAGCTAAATAAAAGGATATCTGTTCATGATTTTGGGGATAACAAATCATGTTATTATCTACCTATGCAATAAGGGTTAAAATAATAGACAGGTATGTATAGTTTTTCTAAAATGTTTTGTTATTTTTTTTTTCATAAATTATTATTAACCAAAAGGAATAGATAGACTTTACCTACCAAAAACTATTCTGTAGACACATTACTTATTAATAATCCGCAGTCAACGGTAAACAAAAAGTGAGTAAAAGTTTCAAAAAATGTTGTTCAGTCTATTGTAAACGCTGTTTTATTAAAGGATGCCTCCTTCAAGCGAAAGATAGACATAAAAAATTCCATTTCAAATTAAAAATAATAAGAGCCAAATTTTTTAAAAACACCCTTGACGTTTTTGCAACCGTAAATTGATAAAGTTAATATCCTTGAGTAATTTCAACTTATTTGGTCGTATATTCTTTGCTGAAATTATTGAGCTAGTTTATAAATTATTTTTTTTTAAGAATAAGCAAAATATCACGCCGATGTAAGAAACACTTATAAGCCTTTCAACAATTACATTGAAACAAAAGATTTACTACTACTAAATACGAAAAAAAGGAAGTTATTCGTAACCTAAATACAAATAATAAGTCTTCATAGAAAAACTTGAGAACTTTTGGGTGCATCATTCTCTACTAACGCTAGTGGACAGGTAGTCCCTCCGACCTACATACACTGTGGTAAAATACCGGAAGGTAGGGCGGAAAACAGGGGTCGTAGATTAATTTGAGAAAATAATAATACTACACTTTTCTTAATAGCAATGCTTTATTTGATATTTTATTTATTTTATGATAATTAACTGATTAAATTAAATGAATCTTTCAACTGCAAAAGACGCCTTTATAAAGCGAAACAATTATGTCTTAATAAAAGGTTTGTTAAAGTTTTCAACAATATTGTTTTATACTAATTAGGCTGTAAAGTATGTAAAATTTTGGATTTTGAGTTAATGGGGTGTGAACCCATAATATTGAACTTTCGAGAAAATAATAGCTAACTTTACATATTTCTTAATAGCAATGCTTTATTCGAAATTTTATTTACTTTATGGTAATTAACTGATTAAATTAAATGAACCTTTCAATTGCAAAAGACGCCTTTATGAAGCGAAAGAACTGTGTCTTAATAAAAACTTTGTGAAATATTGTTTTATACTAATTAGACTGTAAAGCATACAAAGTTTTGGATTTTTGGTTGATGGGGTGTGAACCCAAAATATTGAACTTCGCTATGGTCAATGACACCTGTAGGAGCCCAATACATTTGTCCTGATTTCTTTATCGCAAAATAAAAACAAAATATGCATGGAATACATGTTGGGTATAATAAATCGGTACGTACCTCATATTCGATGTACAACGTATATTTTGGATCTAGTTTTCCAACATTCCCATCAAATGTTGAGCGGAACCGCAAGATGAACGTTGCTGTTAAGATTTCCCATCAATTTCACCCTGTAACAAAAGAGATTTACGTTTAATCAGATATTACTTCTGTGATAAAAATGATAATCCAGTTTTATACTCTGAAAATGTTTTAATCATTTTGTTAACCCAATTCGCTTGCTAACTTTTTTATTTCTGTAATCCTAAATACACTTGTCATTCAAATTATGTAATGAACAGTAGGGTAAAGGTGGGCCAGAGGGACAAACAGACCATTAGTGCTTCTTGTTGTCGAATACGAAGTGTAGGGAATAGTAGATGTCAGGTAGAAATACTAATAAAGAACAAGGAATAACATTACATCAATTACTGAATAATAGAAAGAGATAAGAAACAGATAAGAAGAAATTGAACATGTTGTCAGCATCGGACTTTTAGAGAAAGTTCAACATTTTCAGGAATTTAGGAAAGCAAAGACGCTTGTCTTAAGATATAATTCCAAGCAGACAGCTGTAAAGCCGAGCCTGATCTTTGGGCGCGTAAGCAACTTAAAACCGCTACATCGCTTACTATTATTCGGTTAAATCTTTTTACTTTATCTTTAACTAGTGACCCGCCCCAGCTTCGCACGGGTGCAATGTTGATACTAAATATATTTTTGTTTTGTTTAGATTATTATCGAAAAGGGGAAATCTTCAAAAAATACCCCCTGAACATACTAAATATACTACAGAATGTCTTTATATAGACACTTTTAAGATGTACAATATCGTAGTACATTAGTTTGATCTCGTAGGGT